GAAGGCAACCACCTGCACCACCTTCAAAGCCCGAACTCGGAATCGGATTTCAGCAATGGGCGTGCCCACCATAACTCACTATCTTTTCATCACCATTCACTGATAAAATTAAATATGGACGACAGTCACAGAAAACCCTTTTGGTAGGGAAATTCAAATTTGTGTTTTCGAGGGGTTTTTGTTGTCGATGTGGTTACTCGTATATAATCCTGATGTCTGATTACACATGCATTTCTTTAGAACTCAATAACTCACTGCTGAGTAATCAGATTGTTTCTCACAGGTCAATCTTACTGCAAGATTGAAGTCATTCCTTTAAAAATGATATTCGACAGTTGACTATTGACGCAATGTTCTATTATTAACTAACATGTAATTAGTTCATTAAAAAAAAATACCTCAACTGAATAGCATGTAACTTAATACAATCTACCAAAGTGGAGAAACCCTTGGTTTCTCACAATTGGGAACAACATTACAGTGCAGGGGAAATGGAAAGAAGATGGCAGCTGGCAGGACACTGAGTGTTTCAGATTACTGTGTGCTTAGGACCTCTGTGTTCTAGAAAGAAAATAGTAATAATAATAATTAGATTATGCTATTTGAGAATCTTGGAATGCCATGGCTGGGTGCCAGCCTTATCAGAACCGCACATCTGAAGTTTAATTAAGCTGTTTTAAATTTCACCCGTCTTTCTGAGCTTTGAGAAAGCAATAAATGTAGGAACTAATAAATAACGGCAGAAGAATGCTGAGATTCCCTCAGATGGCAGCAGTCAGCGTAGAATTATGGGCCATTCCAAAGTTTACTATACACACGTTTTACTGAACATGAACGTGAGGAGAAGTGCTCTTTCTTCGAGCGTCTTCGGACAATAAACATGTGCACTGTGGGAATCGTAATGGTAGGAATTTATCCAGTTGTCTGTGAAAATCCAAATCGCCCTCCACTGGCATGTCTACATCTCAGGTTGGGGAGAAAATGGGGAAAGACGCCTGGGTTTCAGCAAAGGGAAAAGGCAGCAAAGGGAGGCTTGCTTCTTGTTCACCTGGATGAGAGAATTCTCACCGATGGACCATCTGACTAGTCATAACATGTGTAGGCTTAACCCTCTTATTTTATTAGTGTTTTTTATTATATGCTTTTCAATTGTGGTAAAATATGTGTCACCAAATGGACCGTTTTAACCATTTCTAAGTGTACAGTTCAGTGGCATGAAGTATATTTATATTCACCACCCACCTGTAGAATTGACTTACAGTTCTTTTGTTAATTGCTTTCTAGAAATTACAAAAGCAACACCCTTTTGAAATTTCCCTAGGAATGTTTACTTGGTCACTTTAGCCAAGGGCTGTGAAGGTGCAGGCAGTGCGTCTGTGTTCACATCTGGAGGACCTGGAATGATCCTGCCTCACAGCCCTGCAATCCAAGTGTTTATAGGATTTGACTGTTATCAGGTAAATGAGTTGTGACTGAATAGGACAACTGGTCGACCAGACTTACGGAAGGAGAATGCAGACTCTTCTTGTAAAAACAAACAGGACAGGACAGATTCTGGTTCTACAACCCACTGTGATTAACTTAAGCTACGTCATTCATTCATTCAAGAGACATTTAAAGAGCACGGGCTTGTACTAGACACTGTTCTAGGCACTGGGGGATTTGTGGGGAATTAAGACTAAGCCCTCACTCCCTAGGCCTTAGATTCCGGTGAGAGGCAGCCAGTGCACAGACAGATGCACAAGAGATGCTGGCAGTAAGTACGGTGCAGAGAAATAACAGCAAGTTTGGGTCCCTGTTTCCCTATTTTTTCCCACGTATAATATTCCAGAAACACAAGAAGGAGACGTGCAGGCAGAAACCCCATTCACCAGACAAGCCCTTGGATCTCACGCTATGCTGCGCCCTCAGCCCCAGTACACAGAGTGACAGGCCAGGGTGCTGTGAAAATGAGGCTGAGCTGGTCACAGTGCGAAGAACGCCTTTTTCTCTTTGCTCGCCTCTCCTTGTTTCTCAAGGTTTCCTCCGCATCTTGGTTCCTTTTCTGCTTCTTCCTTTGTTTCATTGACCAGACAAATTACTAAGAGTGCCTACCCACTCCTTCTCCAATTAGGAGGAATTGGACACCTGTCACTATGGGACCCTAGGTTAGTTGTGTAGGGAGGCGGGGATGAGGACGGCACAGTTCTGACCCCCCAGAATTCACTGCCATATAGACACATAGTTGTAGAAGGAGGCAACCAATGTCACACATCGTAAGAACAGCAAAGGTAACATAGGCTTTGAGGATGTCAGGAGATGCCACGGTAACTTCTAGGAAAACAATCAGGGAAGAAGTCACAGAAAATGCAGCTCTAGAGATGATCTTACGGAATCAAGAGTGCAGGATGATGCACGTTAAGAGAAGAGAGGATCTCAACACAAAACAGGTAACCAACATGTGCACAGCTGCAGGAAGGTCAAGAGGGAAGCGACTGGAAAAGGTGTGATTGCAAGTCAGCGCCCTTTGAGAAACGGTATCTCTGTGAGGGAAAACCACCCGGCAGAAAATTAAAATTCAGTAAATCGATTGTTTTATCTAAATAACACCAACTCCCATATTCGGCTGACTTCACCACTGAATGAAACTCATCCATTCATTCATTCAATAGATACTAACAGATTGCCTAATGTGTGCACGTATTGAGGACACACACTGCAGTGAACGAAACAGAAGGCCCTGCGCTCATGGAGCTTTACAGTCCAGAGAGCGATTTTGAGCATAGCAGCGAGCATAGAATATTTTAAACGGTTATAAGGGTTATAAAAAAAGGAACGTCCCATAACAGGGAATGGAGTCTTAGCCCTGAGTAAGGAGTGTGCCTGGCATCTCTGAGGGACAGAAACGCCCAGTGTAGCTGCAGCAGACGAGCGAGCGGATGACGTGGTTCAAGGAACCAGTGGTCAGGTCTCATAGGTCTGTAGGCTGACACAGAGACCTCACCATGGACTGTGAGAGGACATCAGCCAGGGCACGAACCCGTGGAGTGACGTGGAATAACTTAGGTTTTAGTAGGACAGCCCTGGCTTCTGTGTTGAGACGAGATTGAAACCTTTGTATAGCTGTGGTGTAGACATACGCTGAAGGCCATTGCTCATCTTACGTACTATCTTTGGGCACTGGTATGTGATTCAGTGAAAAAAAAAAATTCATCAAGCTGGTGGTTTATTACCTCAAGGCACATGACATATCAGTATCAGTTGGAGATATATGAATACATATCTCTATGTAAATTATATTAATATTAATTATGTAACTATATATTAACAATAGCAATTATACATAGTACAATATATTTATATTAAATATCTATATCTACATGTATTTCTATCTATGTGGAGAGCGATTGTAAAGACTTGGCTTTTGCAAGCGTGGGACTATCTAGGCAAGTCCAAAATCGACGGCTGTCAGGAAGGGCAGTCGACAATTTAGGCGGGAACTGATCCTCTGAACCACAGGTGGCGTTTCTCCTCCCAGAGGGCAACCTCAGTTCTATTCTTAAGGCCTTTCAATGACTTGGACCAGAGCCACTCAGATTATCCAGGAACTCCTTTATGTAAAGTCAACCGATTGTAGATGCTAATTACGCCTACGAAATACCTTCAGAGCAACACCAACTGACTCAGTTTGATCGAACAGCTGGCTGCTATAGCACAGCCAAGTTGACACGACACATAAGACTGATCGTTGCAGATGACTGACCAGTTTTCACCTGCTGACCAACTGACTCTGTGTAGACTATGGCAACACTGTCTTCCACCTTCCTCTTTAACTGGCTCTCTTGCATTATGTAGACAGCCTCTGATTTGGATTTCCTGCCTGATAGGCTGTAGGCTGGTTCCAAATGACACAATGTTTACTGGGAGAAGTGGACCTGGTCTTGCTTGGGAACTCATTAGCACTTGGGAGCCTGGCTTCTGCATCGGGATATTTCAATGCTCAGAGGCTGAATGTCAGCCCCAAACTGCAGCCACCTGGTTCTTACGTCCAAGTTTGTTGCCACTCCGATCATCAACCCTTTAATACAAGAAGAGTGGGACTACCTGGAGGGTGTGCTGTCCATAATTCCCTATTCACATGCCTGTTGGAAAACAAAACCATGCCTGTGTGACTTTGTGTGGGTCGTGGTAAATTCTAGGGAGGAGGCATAACAACCATTCAGTTCATCCTATTGACCCCAACGAACTCTGCTCAATAAATATTTGCAGAGGGACCGAGTGCCAAAGCATGGCCTGAGTTTATGCAACTTGGTGACATTTCCACCGTGAAGCTGTGCTATTACAAACTTTATCTTGGAGAACTCACCATAGGTGGTGAGGTTGCTCTGAACCTAGGAAGCTACCGTTGGCCAAATTATGTGCTCTTGGAGGGGAAGGCTTCCTGTGTATTATAAAGAAGAAAGAAAAGAAAGATAAAAGACCCAGCATGACTAATACGGTAAGAATGTTGTCATCTTCTCCAGAAGAAAAAAGGAGTCAGGTAGAACGTTGCAACAATCCCTGGTCACAAACCTCAGTAGACACCGAGGTTATTAGCTAACCGCACGCTTGTGGCGCATGGAATGGAACACCCCAGGGCTCTGAAACCACAGGCATCTATCTGCTGGATGAACGGACGCAGTTTTCACAGGCCCCGGCAGAAAGCGGGTGTGGTGAATTTTCAAACCGTCCTGATTTATAGACAATAAGGTGCAAGGTTATGGTACACAGAAAACCCAATGGCTTATAGTTTTCCTCATCACCCCCCTTCCTGAAACCCTGGCTGCTATGGATTCTAGGAAGATACCAAGAATGTCACCATCACAGTAACCACGCCAGGTCTTTGTCCCCATCATCCAGGCCACACATCTGGGCTGCGATCCTTTAGGGACAGCCATGAAACCCCTGCCTTTGGAGACCAGCCAAGCTAGGGTATGGTTATTTTTTCCTGTTTAATTAAAAAGGAAAAATAAAAAGCTTACCTATTTGCTTTCGCCAGCTATCTGAACGGTCAAAAGGTGAAGCACATTTCCCTCCACAAATAAGCCGTGGAATGTATTTGGAAATTGAGGTTTCATCAGCAGTCGCTGCGTTTGAGCCACTGATTCCACTGCTAAGGAAGGAGCAATGGGGAGTTCTTTCCTGAAAGGAAAAACACAAAAAGAGCCACTTGATATTTATAATCGGGCATTGACCTGAGGGGCTGCAGGAATGTAGGGTCATCTTCAGACATTAATGTAGGTTAGGGAGGGTCTCAGATGGGAGGAAAATGCCCCCTGGGCACAGGAAGAGTTCACATTTCCCTTTAGAGGAAACAATAAAACGAGTTCCTGCTAAGGATAGGCCATGATGACACTTTACAAACCAATCTGTCCTTAGTGAAAGACTCTTTTCATACAATTGTATTTTTAATTTACAACGATGCAAAGCTGAATGTCATATTTACTGTATAAGGCTGCCCACAAAACTCCACTGGGGACCAGGGCTTCTGTCCCTGGAACTTTGCAGAATACCCCCAAAGGACCCCCTTGCATGCTGATTCCTGAGTAGAGATGGGTTTATGGAGGAACGACATTTGACCTGGGCCTTGAAAAATCAAAGGACTTGAACAAGAGCAAAGGATACAGCCTAGGTGTCGGCTGCCTGCCTGATCTCATCTTTTACTGATTTTTCAGTTACTGGAGAAAAGTGGCTGGAAGCCCCACCCCTCCTACTGTGAGGTTCTATCATCTCCTCAGGACCCCTCAGACATCTTTGGGCATTTATCTTTCTCATTCATGGTCACTTTCCGCAAATTTCTTGCTTCTACTGAATTCTCCATCTTCTCTCTAAGTCTCATCTTCTCAAGCTACTTTTTTCCTCTCTCTCTCTCTCTCTCTCTCTCTCTCTCTCTCTCTCTCTCCCCTATGTCTCTCCTATCTTTAGTTTCTCAAAACACCACTCATATAAGGCTGTTAGATGTCTGGATTTTATCCAAAAATTGGCAATATCTCAAACTTTGTATCAGATATCCCTCACCCAAGTTGCCCAGGTCCTCTGAGATGTATGAATCTTATCAACCATCCCATTTGAGGCGTCATTTGTCATTAACCTGGGGACACAGCTAGAATAAGGCAAGGCTGATACGATAAAAAGATCCCCTGATATTATGAGTCAAAGAACTAAAAAAATCTTTCTATTTTACACAGCAGTCTGAAGGAAGGTTTTCAGGCTAGTCTTTGGCTCTGCTCCACATGGCCATTCAGGGACCTGGTTGTTAGCAAATCCAGGCCTTGTACTATTCATGGGGGTTAGAGCCAGCAGGAAAGCAGAAGAGAGTGGAAGAGAATGCTGCTTCTGGCTCTCACCCACGTGTGGCATGCACCACTTCTGCTCACATCCCATGTGTGAGAACTTAGTCCTAAGACCAAGCTAACTGCAGGGGCCAGTTACCACTGGGAAGTGCAGTCGCCTCCCAAGTAGCCATGTCCCCAGCCTCATCTCCTCTAGGACAGAAGGAGGTGAAAACCAATGTTGGTGGAAAACTGGCAGTCTCTGACTCATCCTTCCCTGTTGTCCAGTTTTTTCCCCTTCTACCCATCTTTTTTTTTTTTCTCCACTTCTCAGCAGCCAGCTTTTATATTCCTGCTACAGTGTTAATGAAAACCAATTCAGCTCCTTGTGTTTTAATGCTTTCCTTCCAGACAGCACTCAGTGACCTGAACTTTTAGCAGCCAGGTAAGCTCTTTTTTCTACACCAAAGAATCAATCTGTGATGTGTGCACCCTGGTCCTCTAACACAGGCACCAAGCTGGAATTTCACTGTGTGTGTGTGTGTGTGTGTGTGTGAGTGTGCACACGCACACGTGCATGTGTGTGCCCACTCACGAGCAAGCAGGAAAACAGAAATTGTTCCTTCCAGTTACACGAGGGGTTGAATGCAGGGCAGGCGAAGGGGGAGAGCAGTCGCTGAGGAGGAAATACTAAAGCAAAGCAGTGGAAAGAGAAAAGCACGGTCTCAGTCCAGGGTAATAGGTGGGTCTACTGTGCCTGGCTCTTAGATGACACGAAAAGGGATTGAGGGCATTAGGACTCTTTCCAGTCAGAAGTAACAGAAACCACACGCAAACCAGCAGAGGCTAAAAAGGATGACTCCACGGGAGGTCACAGAAGTGGTTCTTATCTGCAAGTCTGGCAAGGGCAGGGCTCCAGAAAGCGTCATCACGCCTTTGCTTCTATCTGAGCTGTTTGGCTCCTGTCTTCCCAGGCAGGCTCTCTTCACAGGGGCCCCAATATCTCTAGTCCATATATTATCTGGGAAATGTTTAAGTTTCCAGCGAGTTGCCAAGGTGAAGTGAAGGTGAAAATGCCAGAGACAGGTCATCCTATGTAGAATTTGCAAAGTAAAGCACAGAGGGGCAGTTCGACTACTCTTGGAGTCTCCTGGCAGAATGAAGATTTCAAAAGGGGCAGCAGTGGGGGTGGGGGTGGGGGTGGTTCTGAATGTAAAGGAGGGAAGGATTTTTTTTTTTAAAGAAATCTCTTTGGAGAGAGCTGTCCCACGAAGTCCTCTCCACGTCGTGAGCTCCCCCTGTGAGTCTCCTCTGAGAGTTCAGACCTGCTGAGGGGCCACTGTGAACTGGGGACGTGGGAGAGTGATGTCTGAGTCACAGCTGAGCAAGCTGACGCTCCGAGCAGAGGGACAGGGAGCTGTCTGGGGCCAGCCGACTTGACCCAGAGTTTGTTCAGATAAGAGATGTGTGAGTGTTTCTGATAGACTCGGGGGAAGCTGGGTGGGAGCAGAACCACTGTGGGCTCAGCCGAGGTCCTGCCCAATCAGGCCACCAAGAGGGATGGAGGGGACCTCAGCAGCATGAAACTGCAGGTGAATGGTGTACTCTTGGGGGCTGCAGAAGAACTCACGAGAAATCCATCTAAAGGGATCTGGGAACTGCAGGAAATAGGTCCCCAGGAATCGGGGATAGCCAAAAAGCCCACGAAAGTACCCACAAGAGGCAGATATGGTTTTAAACATTTGCCACCCAGACAACATGAAGCTTAGCAGAGAATAATTTTCAAAAAGAGTTTTCCTCACTTCTTAACATTCCTCCTCCACCATAACTCTGATCTCAAAGTAATCAGAAACCAGCTGATAAGCTTGGGAGGTGGACAGTAGCATAAGGCAGAGAAATATAGAAACCGTTAACCACCTCACTCCTTCCCACCCCTGCGTCTTCTTGCTATCTCCAGCCCAAAGCAGCCCTAAGTCAGGGAATGGGAGAATCTTTTACTTGACATTCAAAGTTTTCAGGAGCATCTTGGATTCGACATTGCAGTTTACAAAGTGGGATCGTGTCTGTGACTTAAGGATCTAAACATGATGAGAAAATTGGCCTACCGGAATTTATGTCGAGGTCAGATAAAATGTTGAAGGGGTCATGGTAAACAAAACATCATTTCATGGGATTGCATGCTAAATTCTGCTTGTCCAAGGCACTGTTTCCATCTTCCTATCAATCGTAACTCCAGAGGAAAGCACACCCCCCCTCCTTCCGGACATGTAAGATTCCTTGAGAAAAGACTGAGTGTCCCCACTCTCTCACCCAACCTGTGAAACGGCGGTCAGATGGTTATTGACAGCCCCATTTGAATCACACGCAGAAAGCAAGGGGCAGATTCTAAAGGGGGCGGGTGCTGGTAGCACACAGACATCCTCTATGACTGAAGATAATGGTACCGGGTTGTAAGAATGGTCACTCCCAATGAAGAACAAGGCCCAAGGTTAAAGCAGAACCTCAAATTCCATTGAGGGAGAGACTGGGGTCCAGCGTGTTGGGAACATTCCCCTGGAAGTCCAGATCTAGGATGTGGGACGATGCCCACTGGGGGCTTGGTTGTGATCTTCGTCATGTCCATCTACCCATGTGGGCACCCATGCCACTGTGTAGCCTGGACATGGAGGGTGTGTCTCCCTCCCTGATATGCCCACTGGTCAGCCATCCCTGTAGGCTGACCTTCACTCGATGGCACTCCTCAGCGGGTCCTGTGATAGTCAGCAGACAGGTGTGAAGACCCTATACTTCCAAAGAGTATTTAAAAGAAAAAAAAAATGGAAGCACTTAACCCACATTTAAAAAAAATGTTCATCCTGCACACACCTTGAGGTTACAGGTCCTTTCGCTGATTCACAATATACACAGACATATACTGTACACCTTGATTATGTGATGAGCACACTGTTAGGGTCTGGGAACCTAAAGGTATTCAGAGAACTGTCTACACGTTTGTCTCCCTCACCGGAAGTAAGTTCCATGAGAGCAGGGGTCCTCTCTGCCTTGCTCACTGTGGAGTCTCCTGTGTCTGGAAAAATGGCTGGCCCATAGTAGGAGCTCAATAAATATTACTTGACTGGCTAAAGCTGTGTAATCACTGCCCTCAAGGAGCCTGAAGTCCAGCAGACGAGGAAGACATGTAAACACAATAGAGTGGAGTAAGTTCAATGACACAGGAAACCGCAAAACTGTATGACAGCAAACGGGAGGTGGGGGTGTGGAAGGAGTGGGTAAGACTTCCAAGAGCTGACGCAGCTGGGACACTAGAGGATGAACAGAGCGTTGTCCCTTAGGCCACTGTGTGCCTCCCCTCTTCCTCTCTTTGAGGGTTCCTGATTTCGTGTCTTCTCTTTTGATGGGAAGGGACAATGGGCATAGAGCCAGCCCTCTGCGCCTGCTCTTTCCTGGGTGTGGGCCTTCCTGGGGCTCTGCCAGTGGGATGACTTTGCAGGATCTCAGCAGGAAGCCTGTGGGACTGTAGCTCTGCAGGATCTTGGCAGCACCTCTCCCAGTGCTAAGGTCAGAACTGGGGAAAGATGGAGTAATCACCAGAAAGGCACATGTGCTCCAAGGCAGAGCTGGCGCCCGGCAGGCCTCTTCTTGCAAACTGTGCTTGCAGGGAAGAAATTGGGAGCTTTTCCTGTGTGGCTACTTTGATGGGGTTAAAATATGGTGAAGCCTAAACATGTAAACAGCAAATTCCCTAGGGAATGGTGATGTAACATTCTGTGAGGTTTAGGTTGGATAATCGCTGGTTGCATTGCCTCATCTTGGAATCTGGTTCAGGATGTTGAGTCCTTTTATAAATCCCACAGGCATTCCCAGGAATAGGATGCTCCACCAAAGAGAAGCCTTTCTAACATTTCTAGAGTATCAGTGGGACATTTCTTAGCACCACTTGGAAAAACCACAAACAGCACTGGATAATGGCGCACGTCTAGAGTGGAGGGCCCATGCGGCCCTCCTCAGAAACACCAACAGTGCAGGCCTGGGTCGCACGAGCTCTACCTCACATCTTAACAGAGAGGAACACCAAAAGGCAGCTCAACATAAAGGAAAAACAATATGACTCTGGGTTGAAATCACATTTAACTGGGGTTAGGGCCTGATTTGTAATCCTCCACCCTTTCTGGTTCTCCTTCAGCTGCCATCGACGCCCCCACATGATGGATTCTTTTTCCCAGGACAACAAACGCTCGATTCGTCAGGGAGCAGAAACACTGCTCTTGTGCTGCTTCTCCGAGATCCCCAAAAGGCTTGACTACCAATGGAAACCCAAGGCGTATTCTTTTCAGAAGTAAACATATTTTCATCCTGGTTTCAGGATGTTGATCCTTAGCACTCCCTTCTACGTGGACAGTGTCCCTGCTGTGACTATGCTCCTGGTGACCCAAAGGGGGCCGGAAGGAGCCCCAGAAGAGGGACCACCCTGCTCTGTTCCAACCAGTGTTTCTGACAGCATGTAAGTGCAAAAGCAAATGTTCCACCAAGGTAAGGACCTAAACTATTGAACTCTTTTTTATTTTTTAAGATCAGCTACAAGAAAGAAAAATGCTACAGGACGCCATGATGGTAATTATTATCATGATGCTAATATGCAACATCTGGGCTTCTAGGGACTATGCCAACAGACACACAAGTGATGCTAGGGCCCGAGGCACAATTAAATCTCCACTCTGGGTCACTGAAGAACACGGGACATAGTTCTCTACATTTGGATCTCAGTCTGTTTTGTAAAACTCCTGGGATTGAAACAAAGCTGGCTACCTGTTCCATGTTAACAGGTGAGATGTTCTGGTATTTGATAAAAATTATACAATAGACTCTAAGCACTCGGACTACGTGTGACCGAGACTCCAGAATGAAATGCTTGTTGTTGCTCATGTTATCCCCAGACTAATCTAGGAAATTCTCATCCTCATAATTTCTCCAGCGATCCCAGTCTTGCAGCCAACATGTCTTTCAGCTTCCCCTGTGCTACCACTTGCTGGGCCTGTTATCAATGGAATAATGGAAAAAGCAGGGGTCTGAAGAATGGAAGTCTAGTCATCGCTCCCCTCTGCTGATGACCTGGTGACAGGTTAGTGGGCTTCCCCAAGCTCAGTTACTTGATGGGAATAATAATATTTTGTGTGTCTACAGACAGGAGGTTAGACAAGATGAATGACGAATCTCAACTCCGTGTCTACTTTGTCTTCTGCAGCTTAAAATAGTGCCACCGAAAGAATCAACCAAACTGCTCTGCTGTAAACACAGAACTCGCAAACACACACAAAAAGAATTAAACAAATGTTATAACTCGTGTAATTTTGCTTGTACCCACTTATTTGCATGTGAGCAACTTGGTATTTTCTCAGTTTACAGTGAGGTCTTTATATCCTTAGATGATTCCTTGAGGTTCCATCCAGCTGGAAGGTCCACAATTCTATTATAGCTTTTCCCCCCAAAGAACTTAAAATAGACGTGAAAACAAATGGGTCAAAAAGTCAGGTGGGTCATTAGATGTCTCCCGTTTTCACTTGTACAGCACTTCTTGCCTTGATTATTACGATAACTCCCTTATCAGGCTCCCTGGTTTAGGAGTGCCTCCCTCCAATTCATTTCATGCTTGCACCATGTTTTCTAAATAGAGATCTAATTACCTCTCTGTGCTCACCAGCGCTCAAGCTCATAGTCTAGGCCTCTCCGAACGTAGCTCCACACTGGACTTTCTCATCTCGCTTCCTGTCTCCACAACATGAGATGTCTGATCAGCCGCAGGGGACACTGGCCATCCCACCCCATTCCACGGCCCTTCTCATCTACGAGGTAGCCTGCATTATTACCTCTCTGTAGGATTTCATTCTGTTTTCTATTGCTGTAGAGGCTGAAACCAACACTCAGTGGTTTAGTGGCTGAAACAATACCTATTTATTACATCATGCAGGTCAGAGGTCCAGTCCAGCATAGCTGGGTTCTTTGCTCAGCGTCTCACGAGGCTGAAATCAATGTGGTGTCCTCAGCTGGAGGCTTGACTAGGAGAAGGTCTGCTTTCAGGCTCCTTGATCCTACTGGCAGATTTCACTTCCTTGTGGCCGGAGGACCCAGGGTCCCTTGGTCTTGCAAGACCTTCCTCTGTCTGTTTTCTGGGAAGAAAAATGGAATTTGAGTAAGTGTATACTATAGGCTGAATGTCAGGATTCCTCATTTTGAAAAGAATGAGCATGGGATGTTCTTCAGAACTGCAGCTCTTTGCTGAGATTCTCTGAAAAAAGTAGCTAGAACTTCTTCCCTACCCATATTCTTTCATGCAGGACAGGACAACTCAGCAACTACTCTGTGTTCAGAACCTCCCAGATAACAGCCCGGAGGAAGAAACATGAATGACTCTTTACATTTAAACATGTCTGCAGAAAACAGCATTCTCCCCAGTGCCAGTGGAATGCTGGACATAAAGGCACCGGTCAGGACACTATTTAACCAAGCATTTTGACCTGGCATTTAGCTTCCATTAATGGGATTAAGAAAGATCTGCCAGTGTCCTGGGGAAGATGATTCCCACAGTTCCCCTCCAAAATGTTTTCAAATATGCAGGAAAAAAAAAAAGACGAAATAAGTAGAATACCTCGTGGACAATTTTTCTAAGCTGGAATACATTATGTTAGCTTCTGTTCTCTGATCGATACCTCCCCCCAAGTATGTATGGATACGTCCATGGCCCTAATCAGCAGAGACAGTTTAAAAATTGATCTGGAAAGTCGGCTCTTGACCTTGTGACTCTGCTTTGTGTCGACACATTCGATCCCATCACATCTGGTCCTGAACTGTAAAATTGTTGGCCTATCCAGCAGCACAGTGCTCTGACAGCTGCATGCATTTTGTTCTCGGAGCAGCTCCTCTTCCAGAAAAGTCAGGTAACCAGGACAACAGAGCTTTCATCGCTAGATCTGCTCACCACAAGGAAAAGTCTAATAGTAAAGTTTCCACAAAAAGGCTTCTGGCCAGAGAGATGCAAAAGGAAGGAGCCCATGAAAGAGGGAGGTCAAGGGCAAACACTCACTCGGATGTGGGGAGACCTGGACTTGAATTCTCAGTCTATCTAAGTTATCCAAGAAGGAATAAGACATTCATAGTCTGTTCTGTGAGGGGAGGGGGGGGGAATTGCAGAGCTTGAGATAAAGGGCCACTATCTTGAAAGTGCTTTGAAAAATAATTATATAACTTACATTCTTTAACTCAGCATCATCATACTGACCTGACCCTCTAGTTCGGAACAAGTTGGTATTTTATAATAAAACATATATATTCATTAATGCTACAAGGGTTTCCTGAGCATCTACAAGGTGTCAAACTCATGGCTAAAAATATGGGATAGGATGCACGTATCCGGACTAGAAATCAACCCTCTGATTTTAGCTATCATTTTATAATACAAGTAATATATGAAAGATAATACATGAAATATTAATATACTTTTAGTGAATTGCTAAAAGTAATAGACTAATACAATACACTAAAGTAATATAGTACATATTATAATTACTTATAAGTACTGTGCTAAATTATACTACTTATAAGTAATATACTCAAGTAATATACTGTATATACTTTATATATTTTAAATTACTTTTAACATTTTTACATTTATTGAACGCATGTTGGACTATCTCATTTAAACCACATAACAATCAAGAGATAAAACGTCACTACCCAAGTAACTGAAACTCAGAGGTCTTTAAGCACATGTTCAAGGTCACACAGTTTGTCACAAGGTGAACCATCCAGGACTCAAATCGGACCTGTCTGGCTGCACAGGGTGTGTTTATAGCACCCGCCACGCTAACCTCTTCAGGATGCTGATTGCTTCAAGGAGTTAACCACTTCAAAGTGCCTCCCAGGCTTTCAAAGAGACTGACCTCCAGGCAGCACTGGAATAATCTGGCGTATTTAGGGCGTTTAACAATGGTTATCTTCAAAGACTTTTAAGGCTTCCTGTACTTAGGCTAGAAGTTCCATATGAATCCTTATGATGGGCTCTGACACTGTCCTCTGCCCCAAGTTTCCTGGGGAACGCCTGTCCCCCACCCTCCTGGCCTCTAGGCATGCTGTCCTCTGATGACATCATGTGACTCACTGTTCCCCACACAGCTGAGCTTTTCCATGGTTCCAGGGCTCTATTTACAGAGAAGACTTCCAGCCACTTTGTGACTACAGGTGCAGGATTTGGGGCCTCTTTTTAATTTGGTCTCATAGCATTTGGTAGCCTATCTTTATTGTTGTATAGATGACATTTATTTCAATTATAGAATCCTATTAAACTATAAATTCACTATATCTTACCCACGTTTGTCATCCTAGTGTCTAGTATGGTGTTAGCATGTGACTTCCTATATGTTCATTAAATGAACGGAATGTAATATCTTTATGGTTTCCATCACTCCTCATCTTTTCTTTTTCAAGATGATGTTGAAAGTTAAATGACTTCTCACTCCTGAATGATATTTTCAAAACAATACTTAGGGGGATTTTTCGCAACACCTCTGGAGCTCACACATGAAACCCTAAGCACACGCTAGCATGATAACACGGACACTCACAATACTGCCCCCCACTCCACACAGGTACAAAAAACCAAACGCACCACTCATCCACTCAACTCATAAATTTATCAATTAATTTCCAAGGAATTTCAATCACACGAGGCATGGAAAGATTAATTTTCCCTAAATAAAGGTTTAATACTCTCAATTGTCATGACTCCGATTAGTAGGTCTGATTTCTGATATTTCAAAGACACATCTCATCTGAAAGTGTTGTGAAGATTCCCTTATGGAGACAAGATATTAGAATGCCAGAGGCTTTCTCCTCCTTTCCCAAATCCAATCCTGAATATGCCAGAGGTGTGGGAGGGGGGTGAGATTGATCCACCTGAGAAAATAATGCCACAACTTTGAGGAACTCCTAGAAAGAGAGAAGGTGAATGAGTTTTGATGTAGGAGTGAATGTTTGGAGAAGATGAGGGTTATGTGCAATAAGGGGATGGTTTAGGAAAAAACTCTTTCCATCTCCTGTTGTCAAAAAAATGGGCAAGCTCTCTATCATAGCTCATTCTGTTGTGTGCCTGCCTGGCAGTTCAGGACCTGGCAGAGGCTACTGGTCTAAGATGCATTTATTCATTGAACTAACGTGAATTGGGTCCATAGCTTATGCCGGGCTCCCTACTTTGGTTTGGAGAATGTTATACACAGAAAACCTTTTGTCTGCCTTCAAGTCACTTACAATCTTGTGGGAGAAATTGGAAAAAATACAGACGACCAACGGTGTTTTTTCAATGCTATCATAGAGGCAGAGGGCTTTGGACACACATAACCATGTTTCCTAATTTAGCTTTGGTGGACCATGGCGGAGTCTCCCAAGACATGCTCTGGTGACTATGTCTGAAGAATAAAGGGACGAGAGAGAAAGGGAGAGAGAAAGAGAGAGAGGGAGAGAGAAGTGGAGAATGACTCTACTGGGTATGAAATGAGTCAGGGGATAGAGATAAACGAAGCTACCGAGGAGGCAGAGGTGCATCAATGCCAACCTGGGAAGTTAATACTCTTATTAACAGGATAATGAGACGTCATTGCAGGATTTCAAGGAAAGGCCTAGTAGACGCTATAAAAATCCTCCTCTGATAGCAATTAAAGAATGGATTAGAAGAGGGCACGCTTATAAGGAGACCAGTCAGGAGCTGGTTGCAAAATGAAAGTGAGAAATGAGCAGCAGAAGTCAGGTGATGGGGGCAAAGAAGAGATGATGTCAGGTTAGAGAGACTAAAGGAGGTTGCGTTGATTTGGCAGGTTAGTGAGTGGAAAGGGGTGAGTGTGGGAATGAATGACAAGCAAGGGTCATTCTACATCTTTTTTTTTTAAGAGAGGAAGTGCAGGTTTGTAGGGGGAAGACAGTAAGTTCACTTACGGTCATCTTGAATGTCTACTGGCCATCCAGCAGACAGGCATTTATACCAGAATAGAGCTAACATTTTTCTGGCAACCATATATAGAAGCATAACCAGGTTTTATGCTACTCAGCTCATCAAGAAATTATTGCCTAAGGTAGTTATATGGTATGCATCCCAACCACTGAGCAAAGAACAGGGAGTGAAACAGAGATAGGACTCTATTTTTTTTTTTAAGATTTTTATTGGGAAATTGGGGGGATGGGAACAGCGCTGGGGAATTGGGGGAAGGGGAACAGACAAATTGCTGTCATTTTGTTCTTCAGTCTAGTTGTGGAGGACGTTGCTTCACTGGCCCAAGTTGGCACCATCATTGCGCTCTTCCCGGGCGAGGCAGATCAGTCGCCGGCTTCTGGATGGCCGTTCACGGTGGCTGCTGGCCGCTCACGCTGGCTGCTGGCTACACATGGTAGCCCATGGCAACCCACTGCCACAGGGACTGCAGCCTACGCCGTCGCCGGCGACTCACGGCAGCCCAGCTCCAGGTTGAGCTGTTGTTCAGCATCTTAGCTGTGGAGGGCAGTGTCACTGGCCCTCACATGCGGGATCCGAACTAGGGCCCTCTGGCGTCCCAAGCCAGCTCTTAACCATCGTGCCACTAGGCCAGCCCAAGGACTCTAGTTTTTAATCATAAACCAAAGTTAATATTGATAGTAGTGTGGGTACCCACAGCACCCACACTGGCAACCTCTGTCTAATTTTTAGCACAACACCTAAGAAGGGAGCCTGATCTTGTGGCTGTTTATTTGATTATTGAAATTGGACTCACTTCTCAGTTGGTAACAAGGAAAAGACAACATGGCCTCGCTTTGTTTAACAAAATAAATTAATTTTAATGTCTGTATTTATTTTGCCCCAATTCAAAGTATCAGTAGGTTCTGTGTAGTAGAGTGTCTCACATGTGCCCCTTCGGTTTATTCTCATGGCCACTCTTTGATTTCATGTCTTCACTACTTCCTTTTGGACTATTCCAATGCAGCAGTCCCCATTATCCATGGGGAATATGTTCCTAGACCCCCACTGGATGCCTGAAACCACAGACAGTACTGAACCCTGTATGTACTATGGTTTTGTCCTATACATGCACACCTATGATAAAGTCTAACTTATAAATTAGGCACAGCCGAGATTAACAACAATAACTAC